CTTTTCGATGGGCGCGTAGAGCGACTCAGGACCTGTCATTACTTTGCTCACGTAGTATACGGGGCGCTCTTCTCCATCTGTCGCCGCCTTTGAAATGAGCACCGCACTAACCGCCGTAAGCGAGACTGCAATGTAGAGGTATAGTACCTCACCCGTCTGTGGCACCGTCATAACAGTGGGTGCCACCAACAGGTTCTTCAACTGCTCGAACACCTCATCGCACTCCTCCGTCCACTTGAAGCGCTCGGCCCTCTTCAAAACCGGGAAGAAGGGAGCACCTTTGTCGGCTGAACGTGGGATGAATCGCCCCAACGCCGCTAGTTCAAACTTTGCACTTCCTTCGGCGTCCTTCGGGGCTCAAGGTGCCTAATTGCCTCACCTGCTTTGGGTTGGCCTCAATCCCCCTCTTTTTTATCATGAAGCCCAAGAATTTGCCATCTTCCGCGCCGAAAACGCACTTCAGCGGGTTGAGACGGAGGGAATGGGCACGCATGGTCTCAAAAGTTTCGCGCAGGTCCTTCAAGTGGTCTTCTTTCCTCTTGCTCTTGACCACTAGATCATCCACATACGCCTCCACGTTCCTCCCTATCTGTCTTTGGAACATGGTGTTTACCATGCGCTGGTAGGTTGCTCCGACATTCTTTAACCCAAATGACATGACCTTGTAGCGGAAGTTGTCGAAGGGAGTCATGAACACGGTTTCACCCTGTCTTCTTCGCACATGAGAATCTGATGATACTCGGAAAACATGTCCAAAAATCTCAATGCCTCATGGTAGGCGGTTGCATCCACCAGCTGGTCAATACGGGACATCGGATACGCGTCCGAGTGGCATGCCCGATTCAGGCTTGTGTAATCGACGCACATCCTCCAGTCTCCCGACGCCTTGGGCACTAGCACCACATTGGATAACCATGTCGTATACCTCGCCTCCTCCACAAACCCGGCCTCGAGTAACTTTCCTACTTCCTTGCGCAACGCCTCTTCTTTTTCCTCTAACAAGGGACTTCTTTTCTGCTGCACCGGACGCACGCCCTTCTCCACCAACAAACGATGCACCGCAACCTCTGGTCTCACCCCCGCATTTACCGGGCGCTCCAAGCAAAGAGATCTGCGAATTCCTTTAACAACCCAACCAGAGATTCGACCGCTTATCCGCTTGTATGGGCGGAGATGCGAACACATCGCTCGGGGCGCTCGTCATCCAGAGGCACCTGAATCTCGGCATCTGCCGCCTCCGCCCTTGCTAAATCTTTGTGGCGCACGTCTATGTTGTACATCCGCATTCTCTTGACAAGGCGAGCCTCCTGCGATGCTTCGCCCCTTGACACCCCTACTCCTTTTGGGGTGATGAACTTAAGAACTTGATGACATGACGACGCTACCCCATTGAAGAGAGCTAGTAGCGGGCTCCCCAAGATAGCATTGTAGTTGAAGGGACAATCTACGATGCCGAAGTCCACAGTATGTGTTACCCTGTGCTCTTCCTCCCCTAGCGTCACTGGCAAGTGCACGTGCCCAATGACTCGAGCCGGCACCCCCAAAAACCCAACCAAGACCGTGTCGGCCGGCCTTACAATGCTTGGTGACAGCTGCATCTTCGCAAAGGTGGATCAGAACAGCACATCCATTAAGCTCCCCATATCCACCAGCATCCTTTTCACTCCACACCCGGCCACCACTCCCCTGATTACCAAAGCTTCGACCGACGGCACACGGCACGCCTCCTCGGGTGCCTCGTTGAAATGAATTTGTACGGCAGCACGCGCACTAGCGGTGGCTGATTTCAGCCGCCTTCCTTCTTCTAACATCTGCCTTAGGTCGATCGAGCCGGAGATGGCTTCAATGGTTAGCCTCACCCGGGCGGGGTTTGTCTCTGGCTCGACATCGAAGGGAGGTGGGGGTAACACTTCGCCTTCTCTAAGCACCTCCTTTTCTCCACACACGACCCCATCTTCAAGCACGCTTTCTTGAGGCGCCACCACCTTTTCTTATTGCGCATGAAAGTTTGTTGCGCCTTATCCTCTCCTTTCCTCACGAATTCTCCCAGCATTCCCCTATCCACAAGCCCCTGGATTTCTGCCTTGAGCTGGTAGCAGTCGGCCGTGTGATGCCCCCTTTCACGATGGAATTCGCAGTATCTATCCAAGTTCTTCGGTCCATCCGCCTCGCTGCTAACATTTCTTCCAACATTATGAATTTCTGCACCATGCGGTCCAAATCCTCCGTGGACACGATGTCCCGCTTCGACAGCGCCCGGCAAAGCTCCTCACTTGTGGTGCACTTGTCCAAACAGCACCCCAGGACAGGGGGCTTGACGTCCTTGAACAACATGCTAATTGTTAGGCTTCTACGCTTCCGACTGGCAAACTTTGAGAGGAACATGGCACAAAATTGCTCAAAGCTGTCGATCCTGCCTTCCTCAATCTGGTGGTACCAATCTAGGACCACGCCGACAAAGGTCGAAGGGAAGGCACGGCACAACGTGGCGTCTGAGCTATTGTACAGTTGCATCTTGGTGAAGTAATTGTTCAGGTGGTCTTCCGGATCAGTCGTGCCATCGTAGCTAGGGAGCGCTGGTATGACTGAATTGGCCTGCTCCGCTAAGACGCCTCGCGCCAGCGGTTGCCTAACTCCCCACGGTCGGTCGTGGCGCCTATGCGCCCACCCGTTATGCTCGTCGAAGTCCGGCGCCATGTGTCGGGTTAGATGACCCAGCTCCTTCGTGCGCCTTAGAACGCTGGACGCCCCTTCCTCGTCCTCGTCTCTCTCTCTCTTCCTTCCGCTGGGGGAGCCGCTGCGTCCCCCCCCCCCTTCTTTAGAGCTTCTACTTCCTTCCTAGGCGCCTCGAGCGCTTGATCTTGCTCTTCGATTATGCGAATCAAGTGTTCCTTTGTGAGCGTGACTCCCTCCGATTGGGTCGTCTCCTGCGGCTCGTCTTCCTCTTCTTGCACCTCTTCCGACAAACGAGGCGCGTCAGGCGATCCCATTTCGTTAGGGTCGTGGGTTCTTTCTCCTATCGTCTCTGCCGCTTCCTCCGTGACCCTTTTGCTTGCAAGGCTATATTCCTTTATCTGGCGCGCCAATTGTTTGTGCTATGTAACACTGTGCCCCCGGTGGTCAATGCGCCTCCGCTTCTCCTGCCTAGCTCCCACTGCGCGCCTCAACCCTGCACACGAAGGAGCCTACCGAGCCCCCTTCTTTAGGGCTCGTTAGCACTCCGACGCCCAAGTTAGGACAATCGTTTTAGAGAGAGAAGTGAAGTGTAGTTTCTAGAGAGAAGTTCTAACCCGAGTAAATGAGCTCCACCCACTTTGCTATTTATACCCAGGGTAGGGTCGACCACTGCCCCCCAAATCCGCCCCACGTCATCACACCATTAAATGCACTGTACTTCCCCCTTGCCATGCGCCCGACACTCTGACACACTGAACCGGGATCCGAGGCGCATGACCCCACTTCCTGTCCCCTTCGTACGCTCTTGACCGTTGCCCTTCCTTTGTCGTCAAGCGCCCTACGTCAGGCTTGGCCCCACCGCACATGCTACATCCTTAGGCCTCCTTTGGGATGGGCTTCCTTTTGCCGGGCCCGTGTTCCAAGCCTGAATTGGACCTTTTGGGCTTCCCTTTTGGGCCTTTAGGTGCCCCCTAACAGCTAGCACATTCATGAAAAATACCTCAAATATTATATAAACATTCAATCAACACACATGGAGTCATGTTCTTACATCCTAACACACATATAGACTAGGATTCACAATACCCAAGAGAGTAGGTAGGCTATTACATAGCTAGGCAAAGGAAAGCAACAAAAAGGAGAGAGAGGTAAGAATCTTCACTCCTCTAGCTTGAAATGAGCTCAATCTCCTTCTTCCTCCTTTGAATGGCACTTTCTCCCTCTAGAAACCTTCCTTTATTCTGAAAATTAAAACCCTAGAAAAATATATCATTCTCTCTCCTAGTAGCATTCTATTTGTAGAGCCTGATAGTCACTTTTGACGGTCAGAAGTCACGGCCGTGAAGAGCCCCGACATTGGACTAAAATGCAGGTCTCTAGTGTCGTTTTAGTCCACATCACGGCCTGGGATGATTTTCACGGTCAACAGACCGTGAACACACTGAGGTCCAGTGAGGTGTGCAAAAACCTTTTGTTTCCATCAGACTTTACGCCCACTGGGCTATTTTCACAGTCAGCCAGACCGTTACAATCACCTCTAAACCGTGACAATAAGCTTTTCTTCACTTTTTGACGCTTTTCTACTCCAATCATCCTGAACCTCGTACTCGACCCTTCCCCATGTGTTAGGACATGAAATATGACTAAAGAAGTAAAACCTAGCGTAAAATGTGTCGACAAACGGTGAAATTCACAGGCAAACTATCGAGAAATGAGGGGTAAAATGTGTACAATTGGACCCGAATCATGCTTTGGCTTTGCCCACGTCAGAAGTTCAGTGGGTTTGCAATCTCCTTGACGAGCTTCATCAACCGCTTTCCTCGGCCGCTACACTGTTTTGTGATAATCTGTTTGCAGTTCACTTCAGCTCCAATCCCGTCTTCCACTCTCGATGAAGCATCTTGCGTTGGATTATCATTAAGTGCCTCGGTTAGTTTTGACCAAGCAGCTTGTTTTTTGCCATCTTCCCACCGCGTCGCAGCTTGCGGATATACTCTCCAAGCCTGTGCGGCGTACTCGGTTTAATTTGCTACGTTCCAAGCCTTAGATCAACCTAAGTTTAATTAAGTTAAACTTAAAAGGAATCTTTATTGCGCTGCTAAAGAATCACATATGAAACTTCATACACCTTAAAATTCATAGGCTAGTACGAAAAATAGAGTTTTTTTTAGGTTCGTAAACTCATTAGGCCTAGCATTGAATAGATTGGGTATTTATTTACCTTATCAATATTTTAAATCAGTGATGCATTCTATTGGACGCCCAAAAGGACACCTAAAATTGATCGAACATTCCAGTTGACCGGGCCTAATTCTAATTGTTTTGTTCCGAAGCAAAGATATCCGGGGGTGGTTTGTCCTATTCAGATATTCACAACTCAGAAGTACTGGATTCTCTTTCGGATAGGACCTAAAAGGAGAAGTAAGGATGGAATGCCCACAGATCTCTATGAATAGGTAAGTCGCCAATCCTTAAAATGGAGTATGTAATGTACTTTATCTGTTGATCTCAGGCCAAAGAAGAACTAATTCATTCAGTCGAGTCTGTGCGGAGGTCCTAAAATACGCTCGACCGAAAGGGGGAGGAAGAATGAAAGGAATGTATTATCGAGGAAATCGTATTTGTTTCGGTAGATATGCTCTCCAAGAACTTGAATCCACTTGGATTACATCTAGACAAATAGAAGCAGGCCAACGTGCAGTGACAAGAAACCAGGATAATGCATGGTAAACCACTGAAAACGATGTACTTTACCCGGCCAGACCATTCCCCATCCACAGGACCCAAATGAACATTGCAAGGCCATTACTACCAGGAGTGGCAAAGTGACTGCGGATCCATCTGTCCAGGCACGATAGGAGAGAAGTGGAGAAGGAGGTTGAGGTGTCTACTCCTAACCCGCAACCAGTGGTGAAGGAGTATGTTCCTCAACTTCCCTTTCCTAATCGGTTGCACAAAGACCGACTGGAGACTGAGTTTGCCAAATTCATGGCAATGTGATGACTCGGTATTTGCACATGTTTCCCCTTTGTTTCTTGATTGTTTGAGCTTGAATTACCGTGTCTTTGGCCTATTTTATGCTAGGTTGTGTTCCTTTGTCACATTTCAGGTCCTAGCACATAAAGTGAAGCATAGGCGCAAGTTTCAAGTCAATCAGAGATCAATTGACGATTCGGGAGAAGAAACTCGGGTATGACCTGAAGAAGAATGGATTTCTACCTCACTTTATGGACAAAGAATCATGCAAGCTTGTCATGAAAAGAAAGAGGACGAGACTACGAGTGTCTGGGATCAAACGGCGACTGATTCGGAGTCCGAACGAGGGAGAAACGAAGCATTAAACAGAGGCTGAGCAAGCCACACGGGCACAACCCGATCGTCGGTAGTGGATTTCCTAGATCATATAGCAGCTTACGAGGTCAACTGGTCTTCTAAGACGTTTCCTATCTCTCTCAGTGCGAGTACTAGACTCAAGCCAGGATCATGAGAAAAAGTAGAAGTAAGACAGTCAGTTCATGGATAAAGGGACTCACACCATTCACAACCAAGGACTCGTTGTACCGGGGTGCTCTTTCACTTCATTTCACCGTTGGAACCCCTTTTTGCACTTTCATTCACATTTTCCTTGTTTTTTTTTTCACTTAGCAGGGGTTCCAACTGCAGTCTTTTGCACGGTCGACCCTTATTAGTCGAGCAAGAGCAATTTCTGTACACCTAGCGCTCGCCAGGGTACTTCTTTTAACTCCTTTTCCTCAACTCGTGTGGAGGGTCAATGAAATTAAGGGGGGTCGGAAGCTCTATCCGTGCCCTTAAAAACACATCCTCAAGTAGGCAAACCGTTCAACGGGTGAAAATTTTACTTGTATTAGAGACAGCTTAGCTTCACCTTGTTGGAGTACCCCACTAAGGATTACTAAAATCTCTTCCAAAACCCGATTTTGTGCAATGAACGGTGCCACACACGTTGGGCTTACCCCATATTTAAGATTTCAATGACTTCGACATGGAGGACCAACTGCTTTTCATTTCTCACATGAGCACCCTGTTCGATACACGAGTCATAACACAATTCAAACAGAGTCCACATTACCACATGTATTCAACGGTCTTAGCTCCACTAATTCACAAAATCAACTGGCACAGCAGAGAGCTAGATAGGAAAAATCTTATACTTCAACATCCTCCATAGTGCTAACTACCTCCCTAGGTTGCACATTACTATAGAGACTGTCAATTCAAAGCATACTGAGCAGGCAATTTGCATGGAAACACGTACTTGGAGCCCTCAAATCGAAATTTGGACAGTGGACTAGGCTCCAAGCACACAAACAGCCAAACATTCACCCGCATACATAATCGAACACCCCCCCCCACACTTAAGCACGACATTGTCCTCAATGGAGGAAAGATAAGGAGGGTAGAACGAAGTTACCAGATCAAGGGTGAATGATGATGTACGGGTCAGGCGGTGCATTCCAGGAAGAGAGAGTAATCAGAACACAAACACCACACAAAATCTCACAAAGGTTGAGTTATTGACTCTAAAATCAAATAACAAAACTGACTCAACCGAGGATAAATAGAGAAAGAAATGCAAACCGACTGGTTGGGTTGCCTCCCAACAAGCGCTTCTTTCACGTCGTGAGCCGGACGATGGCTCCTAAGTTTCGCTCCATGCTAGAACCTCCTTGAAGTTGAGGTTCTCATCTATGAGGTGGAGTCTCAAGTCACAAGTAGGTGGTGTGGCAGGTGAAGGCTCGTGCACTTGATGCAGATGAAGTCTCCACCCTCGAGACCTCTTCTTCTCTTCTCTCGTCTCATTGCCCCAAACCAGATAAGACAACGTCGATTGGCCACCATCGCGTCCACCAAGAGGGACCGATGTCGATGTGGCCTTGGTCTGGCAAAGAGACACTGCAAATGGGTCCTTGCCAAGCAGCTCCTCGAAGTTTGGTGGAGATATCACATGTAACTCATGGCCGGTGCAGGCCTCTTCCACCTTAACTCCGTCCTCAGCCTGGACGCCAATTTCTTCTTCAACCTCCCTTTCTTCTACATGTGGTATCACCCCTGGGAAATGATCAAGAACTCCTCCTGCTTCACTTTCGTCATCCTCCACAACTTCTTTCTGAACCCTTTCTTGCTCTTCTTTTCTAGCACGGATTGGAGAGCAAGTTGCCAAGCAATTTCTTTCATGAGATTTTCTTGCATCTCCTCACTCATGCCCGCCTCTTCAAAGCTCAGTTTGGGATGTGGGAAGGTGTGGTCGGCTACGACAGGATATTCCTGATCATGATCATCACGGGAGCTTTTCGTGAAAACTTCTGTTTGCTCCACAATATCCTTGTAGCCTTCGTCTTCCTCCTCCTCTTCTAGTATGATAGCAGAAGGGTGATCTTGAGCAGGTTGTGCATAAGCTTTCTCAAGATCCTCGAGGCTCTTCTTTATGCTCAGGAGGGTCTCCTCTGTTTCACGGTAGGAGAACCCAGTTTGGGCATTGTCTGGGATATCCATCTTTGGAAAGGATGTCTCAGGTACTCGAGCAATCTGCTCCACGAGAAGCCTCAAGTAATAGTTTGGATCTGGCTGATGGAGGAATTCTTCTTGATAAGGAGATTGTTCTTGAAATACCCAGGGGTCTGATTGTTCTTCGTAGGATGGGGGTTGGTACTGAAACCCGAATCCATAGTCTTCTCCTCCTTGATTGCTCCAGGGGGTCTCGGGGTAATACCACTCGGAGGGCTTGGTCAGCTTAAGAGATTCCAAGCTACTGTCGATCTTCCGCAGTCTAATCAACAGTAAATCAACCCAGGGAATTGCAATTGAACCTAACTAAGGGGCTAGGGGGACTCAATCCCGAGTGACTCTTACCTGCTTTTGAAAACCGAACAATTTACTGCTTTCTTGTTGCTTTTACTTTTAACAACAATCACTCGAACTAGTTTGCTAGATAATAGAGAATCACGGAGTAAGCAGTAGATCTAGACCCCGGGTTGATAATTGAACTTGCCTGTTACTGCATTCCCGGACTGCGATTACACTTGGTCGCAGTTTGGTGTTGTGTTTTGGCGTGTCACAATGCTGAAGCAGGTGAACATCAGTATGCCCTTCCTGGAAGCATATTCGAAGATGCCCAAGTATTCTAAATTCATGAAGGATCTCCTCATCAACAAGAGGAAGTAGGGGAGCTATCAATGGTGATGCTCAATGAGGAGTGTTCTGCCATCCTGCATAACAAGCTACCAGAGAAGTGAAAAGACCCAGGGAGTTTTACTATCCCTTTCATGATTGGTAGTTTGCATGTAGGAAAGTCCTTGGCGGATTTAGGCGCTAGCATAAACGTAATGCCATATAAACTGTTTAAGAAGCTAGGCCTAGGTGAACCCAGTAATACTAGGATGAGCATTCAACTTGCTGATAGATCCATTGTGCATCCTAGGGGCATTGTAGACGACTTGATAGTCGCAGTAGGGCCATTCTCATATCCTGTTGATTTTTTTATTCTTGATATTAATGAGGATGTGGATGTGCCTTTAATACTGGGTAGTGATTCGACAACGCTCACCCCGCATGACGTCACTCGAGCTCAAACTAGATATCTACATGGACCATGGTTCAAGAGACGATTTAAGAGGTTTAAAGAGAGTCTGGAAGCATTCAAGGTGGAAGAAAAGGTCTTTGCAAGCAAGACCTACGAGTTTGTTGATGTGAAATCAATTGGTAGAATATATAATTCTCGTGGTCCAAATTTGAAGGTCCGAGTACGACAATACAAGGATCAAATGGGATCATTCTTGATGGACGTGGACTTGCTAGAAGGAAAGTCCATCACATTGCTACGATTTATGGACTAGAATGAAGAGAAGATGGGCTTAGTAGAAAGAAGGAAGATATCCCATGGTGTGAACACAAGGTGTGAAAGGAATACAAGTGTGAAAGGAATATCAGGTGTGAACACAAGCCATGTGAGGGAGGATTGCAAGGCTGGAATCTAGGGAGTTGTTGACCAAGTCTTTTCCTTGTCTTCTAAGGATTGTGTTTTCCATTTACTTTTCCTTTAAGGTTTTGTCTTCCTTTTAATTGTAGGATTTGGTGATTTGTTTGCTTTCTTTCTTAGTTTAGGATTGGATTTTCGTTGCCTATATAAGGAGGATGAGTCCCTCATTGTAATTGATTCTATTATCAATCAAGTTTCAAGTTTCAAGTTCATACGAACTGGTTCTTTGTGCAAGCTTTTGTCGAGAGTCTCCAGGAGTTTCATGTGTCTCTTATCACCTAGAGAATGCGTCTAGTTATGGCGAGCATCTACCCTATATAAATTTCCCCTTTCCACGAGTTGGTGTTGTCCGATTGGTTTAATATACAAATTGCCCTTCATCACGAGTTAGGAATTGTCCGATTGATTCCATCCTATCTTTTTATTTTCGAGTTCAAGAAAGGCTACACCAGAAAACTA